CATTTTTTGACAGGAATCACGGTGATCGAGATAATGACGTCACCAATAAAAGGTAAAATCTCAAAAACGCTCTGTAGTTCGGCAGCCAAAAAAGATAGACAATCGCGGTTTGCGCCATTGTTTTTTTCACGAAAATCAAGCTCAGGACACCGTGGTCGGTTTTTGTTTAGCAATGATAGTTTCAGAGAAAACCCCAAATCCCATCGAATTTGGCCCACCCTGTACATCAAAAAATTGATTGAAGTTCTGAAAATATCAATGTGCGCTACATTTTTCTGAAACTCTGTCAAGTTTGAAACTCTGGAAACTTCGGAAACTATCAAATGTTTAAATCTGAAAACTACTTTCTGACCTAGTATACAGGGTGTCCGGGAACATGTGGGAAATCTCCCGGATATGAAGAAAACACGTGAAAAGAATACTATAAGTTCATATAAACTTCTTTTGTATCGGCCTCCTCTTCGGAGATATGGGCTCCCAAAGAGCTCCCATGGAATTAAGTTTTTGACACATAATTCTTGAACCAACAGGTATATTTCAATTTTTTTTTAATATGATGTATACTAGGTAAGACTCTTCAAATTACTATCCAAGAAAGTGTTGCGAATTACTCACAGCTCCAGGGACGGACTAGCTGTGACACTCATGGGCCCATTTTTTTTACGCCCTGTATGATAAGAACTCTGGACAACGTTTTTTACATACCTCTAACTATTGACTAAAAATTAAGTACTCTTCATTCATGTCGCTAATCATAACCGTTTTCGGAAAAACGTCATTTTATTTATATCATGTATTTAGCGTATTTCGATAAAAGATACTTTTTTTTCGAGTTACCTTTGCAAACGTTGCTAGGTTAGAAATAAATAAATATCCTTCATTTTAGAACTTGTCAACTTTCACATTACTGATACATTGATTCCTTATTACTTTGATATTTGATTTTTGAATTTCGTTGTGAATTTAATTGTGAAATAATTCGAAATATGGAATACACGTTTATTGAGTATGCAGATATGCATCTGATGTATGGTCTTGCATCTTCCAATGCTTTGGAAGCCAGAAGGTTATATCACGACAGATTTCCTAATCGCACTCTTCCAGATCAGAAGACATTTCAACGAGTTGACCAACGTCTAAGGGAGAATGGTGGGCGATTCTTCTTAATAAGGTATAATAAGGTAATGTTATTTACTTCTTTCATAATTTTAGTAAATTTTGGAAAAAGAAGTAATAATACTGGTCAGGGAAGAACAGTACGTACGCCGCAATTAGAGGAAAATATTTTAAATGCTGTATATGATACTCCTTCAACGAGCACTCGAAAATTATCAGCGCAGTTTAATGCGTCGAAAACAATAGTACATGAAGTTCTTCAAGAACAACTGTTATACCCATATCATTTGCAAAAAGTGCATGAACTGATTCCTGAAGATTTTCCCCGTAGAATGCATTTTGCAAACTGGCTATTGGATCAGCAACGAAATAATGTAAACTTCATTTGCACTATTCTCTTCACGGATGAAGCAGGTTTTACCAAAAATGGTATCATGAATTTACATAACACCCATGTATGGGCTGATGAAAATCCTCATGCCACTATTGTTTCGCATCGCCAACATCAGTTCCAATCAATTAATGTCTGGGCAGGAATCGTTGGCAATTTTTTGATTGGACCATTCGTATTGCCGGCACGATTGAATGGAATACTTTATTTGGAGTTCCTCCAGAACGCTTTTAATGATTTAGTCGAGCACTTACCACTTGAAACCCGCCGAAACATGTACTTTATGCATGATGGGGCACCACCTCATTTCAGCGTTGCTGTGCGGGAGCACCTGAATAACGTCTATCCAAACCGTTGGATAGGTAGAGGAGGACCTATTGCCTGGCCTCCTAGATCTCCCGACCTAACGCCATTAGATTTTTACCTGTGGGGACACCTCAAAACCTTGGTGTATTCCACTCCGGTCGATACTAGGGAGGAACTTCTACGGAGAATCACGTTTCATTGTGATGTGATAAGGAACAATGCTGGGTTATTGTGGCGGGTACAGCAGTCCTCAATTCGTCGTGCTCGCGAGTGTATCAGACTTCATGGAGCCCATGTTGAACCCTGTTACGAAGTTTTTAACTAAGCAGTTAAAGTTCAACTTTTTATTGAAACTATGTTGGTTACCGTGGAAAATTACGCTAAATACATGATATAAATAAAATGACGTTTTTCCGAAAACGGTTAGGATTAGCGACATGAATGAAGAGTACTTAATTTTTAGTCAATAGTTAGAGGTATGTAAAAAACGTTGTCCAGAGTTCTTATCATACAGGGCGTAAAAAAAATGGGCCCATGAGTGTCACAGCTAGTCCGTCCCTGGAGCTGTGAGTAATTCGCAACACTTTCTTGGATAGTAATTTGAAGAGTCTTACCTAGTATACATCATATTAAAAAAAAATTGAAATATACCTGTTGGTTCAAGAATTATGTGTCAAAAACTTAATTCCATGGGAGCTCTTTGGGAGCCCATATCTCCGAAGAGGAGGCCGATACAAAAGAAGTTTATATGAACTTATAGTATTCTTTTCACGTGTTTTCTTCATATCCGGGAGATTTCCCACATGTTCCCGGACACCCTGTATACAAAAAAATTTACTGAAGTTCCTGAAAGCCCATGCAGAGTCACTGATATATGTGCGCCTCCTCTAGAAAAAATTCGGGATCCGCCACTATCCATGAGGAGTCTACGACAGCGTATCAGCACCATAGTTATCTATTCATTTTTCATCAGAACCTCAAAATTTCAAGATTTTTCCTCAAATTGAATTTTTCCTTCGATATTTTTCCTCAACATTTCGAGATCAGAGTTTCAATTATACTAGGTGGGCCAAAAGAAATCACCGTATTGGAAGATGCTCTTATTTTTGTAAATGGCGGCCAATGTCAAATCGGTTTCGACATTTGTGAAATAGACAGATGTAGAATACAAGTGAACAAGCCATGGAGCGATACACTCCCCAAGAACGCGGAATAATCCAAGCCAAGCCATCCTCAATCTCGTCGACGAAGTGGACGATTTTTCGACCAAAATCATAATGAGCGACAAGGCTCATCTCCACCTCAGCGGGTACAAGCAGAACTATCGCTTCTGGGGCACTGAAAACCCACGAGTGATGCACGAGGAGCCATTACACCCGCTCAAAGTGACTGCATGGTGCGCTGTTCACTCTGGAGGAGTCATTGGGCCATTTTTTTCGAGGTCGCCGCTGATCAAACGACAACAGTGGATGGTGCGCGCTATAGGGCCATGTTTACCGAGTTTTTCTGTCGCAATTGAACGAATTAGGACTGTAGGACATGTGGTTCCAACAGGACGGAGCAACGGCATACACTGCGCTAGCCACAACCGATATTCTTGAGGCGGCGTTCCCAGATTGCCTCATCTCTCGTTTTGGCGATTTGCTCTGGCCCACAAGATCGCCCGATTCAACCGTTTCAGACTTTTTTGTGGGGTTTTTTGAAGTCTTGTGTATACGTGAACAAGCCTGAGACCCTAGAAGCCCTCAAGAACAACATTCGACACAAGTGCCAGAATCTGTCGCCCGAAGTTCTCACCGAAATGATGAAAAATGCCATAAAACGAGCCCGTATAGCAATCAATTGTGGCGGCGCCCATTTGGCCGATATCATCTTCTCGACTTGACCAATAAAATAAATAAAAGGTTCATAAGCAAAAAATAGAATCAGAGCTTTTCATTTAGAAAAAAAATGAGAGCCAAACAACATCGGATGACATCTTTTGGCCCACCTTGTATCTGTGATGTTCTGCTTTTGATGTTGTTATGTGTACTATTTCTGAACACTGTAAAATATAATTGAAATTCAAATCAAGAAAGAATTATCTTTATCGATTTGCTGATATTGAAGCCATAGATTAGCTATCTATACCGGGTGTCCAACTTTATTTATGCACGAATTTTCGCGAGAACGGGTGACATTATCAACGTTCTGTAAAAACTTACATAAATGAGAAAGAGTTTTGCACGAAAACTAGTCATTAAAACTACCCCTCGATAGACCACCCCTTAGTACATACAATTTTTTTCACAAATCTTACCCCCATATTATTATGGCATGTTTGAGTAGCTTATTAGCTTACTAACACACCGATGTATTACACTCTAAATGAATACGCCCATGATGATGTCAAATCAACAACTTGATAGCATATACCATTGTAACTTGAAAAAAGATGTTACGGCATTTTTTTTAGTGAGCAAACCCAACTTATTTCACTGTGTTCTATTTACCATAGCGAGAGGGGAACCTTTCTGTGAAACACCCTGTTTGATAATGAAACTGTCAGCTGTTGAATGAACGCATTCATTGAGCACAAGAATAATTGAGGAGCTTGATGCGTGCAAAAAAGGCTTTATCGATTTATTAGAGTTTTCGTTTTTTCGTCGATTTCGCATCTTAAGATTCATTTCTATCTGCTATTGAAGTGATTCAGTCTAAAACCGTTCATATCTATGTTGAGAATACATGCAGAAAGTAGATTTTGGAGCCAAATCTACTTTTTTATAGCAAATATGCTTCCATGAGGAACCTGCAGTAGTGATATATGTCAGTTAACTTTTCTTTTATTTCATTTTCTATTTTCAATAGAAATGTGCTTGACTTTATAGATCACAGATGAATTTTGTTGATATTTTTCAAAAATGAAGTGTTTTGCCACATTAATAATTAGTAGGTAGGTCATGAATCCAAACAATTTCTTCAAATTCCATCCTTGATATGAATTTTCCGGAAATTGAAATATATCTCATCAATCATTGAAGCCAACAAAACCTGAGTTTGCATCATTTTATTTTCCGTAGAGGTCAGGCACTGGGAAGTTTCTACCATTTTCCTAACATTTTCCAAAATGACAGACAAGCTCCCCAATTATTACAGTTGATCTTTAAGTTCTTCTGGAAGAATTAACTTTCTGTTTATCATTCAGATTGCATCTGATGCCAGACGAAAGAAGATACCTACAATCGAAGCAGAAGAAAAAGACGTGTAATCCTTACTTCGATGAAACCTTGGTTTTCCAGGTAGGCTTATTATACAATTATAAGTACTTTCAATTCTTTTTCAGAAAATAATGTGTGAATTTCAAGCAAAATAAAAAGAGTTTATGAATTTTTTTTTAGTAGGTATCCACCTACTCATTCCATTTCAGGTTATGTATACCCAAATATGAGCTGAAGCTCTTAGATTATATTCAGAGATGAACCACTCGCATCGTTAGTGATGCCACACTCTCTATAATTCCTCAACTCCTTTGTAACACTACAGGGTCCGCAGGAAAGTCGGAGACCCTTCACTTTTCTATAAATACTTCCACCGAAAAAGTTCTTCAGAAATCTCGGCTATGATTTTATCTATCATTATCAACGCCAGTCAGATGACAAGCTCAGTCTGCGCATCCTCTCATCGATAACCTTGAGATAATTTTAACGACTCTTCACCGATACTCATTCGTCTATAGAACGGCAATACCTTGTAGCTCTTCGCCTAGGAAAACTCCAAATGTTGAAAAAAACCTACCCTCTCTCCATATCCTTCTTAAGTAGGCACCCCATTGAGCAAGGAACGTCCCGGGGAGGTTTGTCAACGTTAATTTCTTGTACCTTTGGTGACCTTTTCGAGATCATCTTTTAGAAGTGATAATAACATATTTGTGAGACGTTTTAATTTGTTCCTTATTTGGGTGGACGTCGCTGTTTCGTTACATTAAACTGACCTATGAACGTCTATACGATCTTTTTCGAGTCAATATCTCCTCCAGAGTATTCCTATTTCATTCTCAGAAAGTTTTATGTGACGTACTTTCCATCATTTTTGGTATTATAATAGTATAATATTATCACGAACTTGATTCCAACTATATTCGTTATCAATTCTCATGACTAATATTCGCCATTTTGCGTGATTTGTTCGACGGAATTGATGATGCCGGATGATGCTGATTGTGGATTTTTGTATCGTTTCTTGTGTCTCACAACATGTGAATTCCAGTAAGTCAAGGCAATAAAGTGTTAGTGCGATTTTTGAGAAACATGGTGAGATCACGGTGATATAAGTGAGTTGAGTTACTTACCAATATCATAACTTTTATTGTTTATTGAGTATCAGAGCAGACAGTATCGGACTTTTTAAGGCTTCAATGCATGACTGCAGTCCCATTTTATCGTTTTCTTCCTCAGTGAATATATCTGGAAGTGTTATTCAGTATTGTTCCTCTCTTGGATTGGATAACTCAGTAATATATTATTCGAATTTCGTTTTGGTGATTGAATTGCATGCATTACGCAAATAAAACTTCAATCCATATCAACAAAAAATAATATATTCAAAGATTCAAAAAATATTTCATTTGTTGTAGGAAATTTACAAAAGTATAGATACAATTTTGAGGACCCGTGGTATTGACTTCGATAATTTTCTGACTTTCATACATTGTCATATTGTTTCAATATTAGGTAAACCGCCGTTTCCGGCGTCACAGAAAAAAATAGTGTTCTTTGTGTCCCTCCGCTTCGCGTTGGGAGACAACACAACTTAGAGATAAAATCTTTTTTCCTTGTATAATGAATTACTATATCCCAAGAAGCAAGAGAAATGATACCGATAGAGCTTCGTCCCTTCGTGGTTCAAATAACCGTCTAAATGGAAAGAACACTAAACTTCTTCAAAAAGGCTTTTCACTGAGGCGCTCCAAATTGGTTGGGTATTTCCAGACATCTTTATTACATACAATACCGAAAATGTTCCTGATGCGTGTTTGCTGATCGTCAATTATTTGTGTGCCATCCCTCATCAGCTACCATCAGAAGTATCTCGTATCATGAGATACATTCATTATTATGAAAACCACACTTCCGTATTATCTAATAATGTTCTTGGTAATACACCCACTTCGTATTCAAAGATGGAAAAATGGATACATAACATGTCTGATTCTCCTATGTGTTATGCATTTCAGGCATATCCAATTTCATTTCGTTACACGGTACAGATGTACCTATTTTACGATAAATCTCATTCACCTTGAGACCCTGATGTTATCCAATTTGTTCAGACGTGGCACAAGATGAGGGTGAAAAATGTACCTGAACGAAAAATGAATCATGGAATGAGTGGATTGTGGGTAGGTATTTGGGATACGTCATACAAAAAATCAGTACGAGATAAATGTTTGTTCATTTCGTGATTCACTCTTATCAGATTATTTCACAGCTTCTTGACTTAACTAGTACCTATCATCTTGCTAATATCATCACTAAAATTAACTATTATGGCTCTTCTGATAGGGTAGTCAAACTATTACGGAGTTATTTTTCTCATAGAAGCCAATATGTGATAATTGACAATACGCTGTCTAGCTTTAGATTAATTGGTGAAGGTGTACCGCAGGGCTCAATACTCGGACCTCTTCTTTATTCAATATACACCATGGATCTCAATAGGAATCATGGACCTATTGTGACTTTGAAAGCAATTCCTCTCAATTATATGTCTTTTTCCATCTCTTGAAGCGCACGAAAAGGAATAACTATAATGTTCGAAGAACATCGTACGTATACCTAGGGATGAAAGGGAGGTAGGTATTGGATTTTCTTGATATTTTGGAGGTTTTGAATCCTCGGGAATACTTTCCTCGGCAAAATCGATGATAATAGTTTGGTAGTCATTCAGTGGGGTAGTTAAAGAGTTGGGTCGGTGATGAGTTGGGACGTTGACGAATTGGGTGGTTGACGAGTTGGATCGTTTATGAGTTACGTCATGATGAGTTGGCTCATTGATGAGTGAGTCGTTGATGACTTCACCATTGATGATATGCGTCGTTGATGAGTTGAATCGTTAATGAGTTGGGACGTTGATGTGTTGGGTTGTTGACGCGTTGCGTCATTGACGAGCACTCAAAATGATTCAATGAGGTCGAATTATGGGGAACTTATCAGTTAAGAGTTCCCCTATAATCCCTTCGAAGGGTGACGTTGAATTTTGGGACAGCCTATATAGCCTGCATATAAACTACCAACTTGAAATTCTCGTTTATATCGCATTCGCATTGTTTTATATACCATTTGGTCCATTTGAGACTATCCACCCTCGATATCTCCAAGAATTATTATTTTACAAAAAAATTACGAAACATGCCGATTTTCATATGGAGGGAAAAACCTTTTGACGCGAAATAAATAATCCATACTGCAACCCTGTACTCCCCGGAGCAACCCCCTCAATAATATAAATAGGGAATAAGGGTCATGTTATACATCATTGCGAAGGTGATTCAATTCTGAAACTAGCAGTGGAACGTTTTTTGAATTCCAACAAGTCGTTCTCGAGATATTCGAGTTCGAATGGTATGTTTTTCAATTGTGAGTAAATGAATGTGAATAATAGATTATTGAAAAGTTATTATTCACAAAAGTTGTTCACAATTACCTCCATTGACTCCCAGACAGTGATAGAGTCTATTTGAAAATTCCTCTTGTAAGTTTGAGAATGTTCCTCTTGATATTGCCTGGCATTCAGTTCTCATTCTTCTCTCCAAATCATCGAGGTCAGTAGGTTCCGTTTTATGAATTACCGATTTTAAATGGCCCCATAGGAAGAAATTATTGGATGTCAAGTCCGTCAGACGTGCTGTTCATTCTATTGGTCCTCTACGGACCTCTATGATGATGGTCATCGGAATCTATTGGCAGATAATATCTATTTTCAACAAGATAATGTGTCACCTCATTCCGTATCACAGGGGAGAGAATGGCTTCCCCAAAATTTCCCAAACGAATAGATAGGTCGTGAAGGACCAGCACGCTCGCCGGACATGGCACCCAATAATTTTTTGCTTTGTGGTCATTCAAAATCCGTTATTTATGAAACGAAATCTACTGTGATCTGGACAATAAGTTGGGAAGAATTAGGGTGAATGCCAGACAATAACTAGAGAAACATTTCAAATGTGCGAAAGGAATTTACAAATAGATTCTAGCACTATCTGGAAGTCAATGAAAGTAATTTTGAATATTTGTTGTGGATGACCATTCAATAATTCATGACGTACATTCAATTACTCGCAATGGACAAATATTACAAAAAAAATTGTATTTCATAAATCGATAGAACTCACCCTAACTAGCTCACCACCGCAAACCGTTTCTTGCTGTGAGCTCCCTACGTTTTATAAAAAATTATTGAAATCCCCGTTTTTTCGGACCTCTGAAAACGAGGCGATGATGTGGCGTCAAAACCCTAATACTGAAACAAGACTATTCCAGACAAAGATGAATGATACATGATTTCTGACAAAGCACCAAGATTGGTGAATCGGCAAGTTGAGTTTTGGGACAAAGATGATGAGAACAAGAAGAAGATCAATTCTAACCTATATTAACTTTTTGCAGCTCCATGTAAAACGGGTCAACAAAGCAATGTTGCTGCGTTTATGAAATATATTGGATTATTGTGGAATTGTAATGGTGCAAATGGTTTTGAGATTGGGACATTTCGTTGTCTAGAGATTGTTTATGAATGATTCAACCTACAATCGACAACTTGAATATATTTTTGTGCAGTAGTGGTGGTGGATATCAAGAGATATTTCAATATCGATTTCGATCTCTCGGATATTTTGTTTGGATGATATGGCAACAGTGATAAGTGTCAGTTTTAAGTATGGCGAGATGAGGTTTCTATACGTCATAAGAGGATCCGTTTTCAGAAGGTACTATTATTTATGTCCAAAAATAAAACATTCTAGTTAATTTTTCTATCGAATTATGTTGTCAATTATTATTCATGTATAAAAGGATCATTATAAACATGGTTTGAGTTAAAAGTTCTACTATAAGGTGTGCACGCCCATTGGAGAATAACATACCATTTGAACCCTGGACCTTGGACCCTTATTCCCTATTCAAATTATTGAGGGGGTTGCTCTGGGCAGTATGGATTATTTATTTCTCGTCAATAGGTGTCCCTCTTCATATGAAAATCGACCTGTTTCGTATTTTTTTGTAAAATAATAATTCTGGAAGATATCGATTGGATGTATAGTCTTAAATGGACCACCCGGTATCATTTTGGGTTCGTTGAAATCAACTTCGCATTTTCTCTGAGGTTGTGAATTATCTCAAATATGTATAGTCCAGTACGTGAGTATATCGAATTAGGGTGTTTAAATGCAAAAGGTGGGGTAGTAGCGATCTTTTAGTGTAATGCAAATCATATTGAGATAATTTTCGAAGAGACTCTAATTTGATTTTATATTAATAGGTTGCCCTAAACTTTAACAGATAGGCAGTTAGCGAGAGCACAGCTGCTGTCTGGTAAGTATTGATAGCGGGTCATAAATGAATCGCTTAAGAGAAGAAGGGAATAATTGCCATTTTGGGTCAAAGTAAACTAGCATAGCTATTTTGTTTTTAGAAAATGTCCACAAGAATCTAGCCAAAGAAGGGAACAATCGTGTTATTTTTAAATGCACTGCTTCGTGAACAAAATATCGTATATGGTGGGAGACGGGAATTATATTACATGAAATCTATGTTTGAAATAATCCCATTTTTCAACTGAATGCTCATAACGATCACGCAATGCCCGTTACAGTCAGCTGTTAAGTGTTGACTAATGAATTAATAATAATTTTTCAATTTATCGATTCTCCTTTGTCATTTCTATAAATGAATATGTGAAAAAGTAAAATTACATGAAAATAGGTATATTGGAATGAGGGAATAACTTCAAATTACCATCCCTAATATCTCTTAGGCAATACTGAAATTGAGGAAAACCAGACTTCCAATGAATCCATCACACCATATCCTGAATCTTTCCTGTAAATGGACTTCAAGTAGAATAAAGCGGCTACAAACCAACACTACGATCAGGTCAGGACACAGGCAACTACGACCAGGACACCGACAATAAGCAACCCGCACCATCAAACCGTATCAAAATATAGTAAAAATCAATCGTTTTAACGCTCTAAAATCATCACCTTTTCTTGAATTTTAAAAAAGCGATATACTCACATTTCGCCTTCAACTTTGTTCACGTGAAGTATAATACTGTCAATTGATAATTTCAGAGTGGATTTTAGTTTCTTCTTCATGATTTTGTGAACATAATGATATTGTGACACAGTTACTTGGTTATGGGGGGTTAATCAGGGGAAGCAAACTATAGGGGTTGACGGAAAGACCAGAATTCTGTATTGAGTTGTTACATGTATTGAGTTCTTAATACATGGATGGTAAAGTTAGAAATTATTACATGTTTTACAATTGTTCAGAAGGTAAAGTGCATAGTCCCCTCCGCTCCTCGTACACCGCGCTATTCTGATGACTCAGGATTAGCAATCGCCGTCTGGAGTCCGTACCGGCTATGGTGGGCTGATCGCGACAATATATTATAAGAATAATAAAATAGAACTCAACCAAAATGAAGTTTCTGCTTTTTTTTCAAATAGTGTTATTATCATAAAAGCCAATTTTTTTACCTGAAATCCAAGCGCATGCACCTCGATGGCCCCAAACCTAACAACATACAAAAACATCGCTATATATATACTACCCAACCTTTCGCATTCAAAAAACCCCACGTCTTGGACCAATAATCAATTCAAAAATCAACGAAGCTCTGATGAAGAAAACGATTGATTATGTTAACGAATTGAATTTACTCATGATTTTCAATAGATAAAATGAAATATTTCCAGGTCGATTGATCGAGACATGTAACAGCCTGTAGTTTTTTTATTTGAAAAGATGAAAATTTGAAATTCACAATGGTTATATTATCGATGATGGCGCTTCCCTTGAACTCAATGATAATTTTCTTCAACCACCTGTTCGATTGGAAGTAGACCCAACTTTTTTTTTTCAAATATCACCCTATATATTTCTGTAGCCTATCTCATTCGCCTTTGATATTCGTTTATTTTTAGGCTGTTAAATTGCATTTTATTGAAATACATGAAGTTGGCTGTGGCCCCAATACAATGACATTTCGATGCTTGATAGGCTTAGAAATCCAAAGATCATTACTAAAGCGATATTATCAGAATATTTTCCATATCCCAATCGGTCCCAGAAGATTGAAGATGATTTCATTGAGTTTTGAAAAATCATCAGAAAATATCTCACGATATTGAGAACACTAAGAAAGAAAATCACTTTTTTTCATTTGGCTGACTTGTGAAGAAACTATTTGTCTTTCATTTTTGCCATGTAGCCATAATATGATCATCCATTTGAATACATGAAACTGAAATCGTTGTAATAATTGATGTATCGTCCTAATACATCTGTCCATAAGTCTACATCAGTGTATTTTCAGTATCATTTCGCTTGGTAGGCGATTTACACAAAATGTCTAGTTTGACTGACAGTTATTTTTTCATGAAACTAAAAAAAAAACCTATTGGTACACAGAAGTACCTACATTTTGTGTAAACCGCCTACTAAGCGAAATAATACTAAAAATACACTAATGTAGACTCATGAATAGATGTATTTGGACGATACATCAATTATCACAACAATTTCAGTTTCATGTATCCAAATAGATGATCATATCATGGCTACATGGCAGAAATGAAACACAAATAGTTTCTTCACAAGTAGCCAAAAGAAGAAACTGAGTATCTATCTTAGTTTTCTCAATATCGTGAGTTATTTTCTCAATTAAATTATTGGCAACTTCTGGGACCGATTTGGGTATGGAATATTCCGATAATATCGTCTAAGTGATGATTTTTGGATTTCTAAGCCTATCAAGCATCGAAATGTCATTGTATTCGGGTGACAGCCAACTTTATGTATTTCAATAAAATTCAATTTAACAGTCAATTAATGAACAAATATCAAATTGTGATACATAGTTGAATACAAAATTTTGGCACAAATGAAATAGGCTACAGAAATAAACAGGGTGCCATTTGAAAAAAGAAGTTGGCTCTACTACCAATGGAACAGGTCGTTGAAGAAAATTGTCATTGAATTCAAGGAAAGCGTCATCATCGATATAATAGTAAGTAAGTAAGTATTTATTCAGTTAATATGAAAGTTAATATGACAGAGCACAAGAGCACAATAGGAAATGTGTGTAAAAATATAGCATTAACGTAATATCAGTTAAAAACATAATATAGTAGCTGGGGATACAAATTTATAGAGAAGGAGATGCCACCTAAGCAAGCTTGTGTTGTGGCATCATCGTTCTCATTATATGGATACAATTCATTGGATGGAAAATGTAGACAAGTTCAACGAGAGCAAACATGTGTGGCCATTAAATGTTTTCCAGTATAGCATTCAAGCAATCAAAACTATTCTTCATAAAACATTTCAATATTGGTTTAATTTTTTTATACTGGTAACATTCTTCAATTCAGAGGGTAATTGATAATAAAGTTTGGGTCCAATATATGTTACGAATCTCTGATTATGACGAAGTCTGGCAAAGGGGACATCAATATTCTGGTTTGTGTTGAGGCGGGTGTTATATGGGTGTGTTTTAAAATTCAAGGGTGTGTTCATAATCCACAGGAGACAATGATAAAATAGATATTTACGTAATCAGCTAGGAAACGCGTTGTTTTGTGTAACAATGGGATTTTGCGGGACGAGCGAAGCGAGATCCCGCAACATCACAGAGTTACACAAAATGGCGTTTCCTAACGTGTCACGAACAATATTTTTTCTAATTTTGACGAAACATTTCGCATGAACAAAAATAATGACCAGTTTTACATGAGTTCTGCCGACTCTTCACAAAATTTAGTAGGCTAGTTGACTTCGCCTGCCACTTTGAAGTATCCGTCAAACAACAATACGGATATTCTTGGCCAAACTAATAATCAAATCACAACCAGTTCCACGAGTTCAACTTCTCTTACATCAGGAATTAATATTTCTAATTGTACTAATTGTGTTATAAATGTTTATTCTAATTGAATTCTTGTTTGTTTATTTGTATAGCTACAGATTTGAATCAATTTCTCTTCGTCGATCCATATTCTTATTTCGTAACTGGTGTTGAAATGAACATTATATCACCAGTAATGTAAAATTTCACTTTACGCAACTGGTTACGTAAAGTAAGACGTTTCAAAACTTCCGTCAGTTTTGAAAAGTGTCAAATTATATGTCGAAATTAGAAAAAAAAAGTTTCTTCACATTGAAGACATCTGCTTGTTCGTACAATTTCGTAAAATAACCCTTTTGAATTTCAAATGTTTATCTCTTCAAATAAAAAAACTATACAGGCTGTTACATTATGTCACCTGTGTCACCCGGTATATATTTTCCTTATGAAATAAAAATCTCTCCGACACCTAATCCATAATCTCATTCCAGGTTTCAGCCAAGGACATGTCAGACCACACTCTGAAGCTGTCAGTTATCGATGGTGGTCGCACCAAGAAAAGAAGCGAAATCGGACACGTCACTTTTCCGCTGAAAGAACTGGAAATCGGAGATGGCACTGAGCAGCAGCTCTTCAAGATGGATCTAGAGAAGGTATATACCGGGTGTCCACGTAGTGTGGAAGAGCTCTATAGCTTCAGTGTAATGAAAGATATCACCGAGAAAAGTCCAGTTAAACATATCTCTATTTAAAAACTTCTTATAACCACCAAATGAAACATTTTAACCACGAAATGTCATCTGATGAACGTGAAGAGTTCACGTTTTCAACGTGAAACAGGTCACCCTTTCAGATCACTCTTTTTGTTTCGAAAAGGTTATCTTTTAGATTCGAAATGAGACAAGATTATAGTTAAAAGATGGAAATTTGAAGATAATCATTTAAATCCTAGAAGATGTCATTTCACTGTTATACAATTATCATTTAATTTCATCCCTTCTATCATTTTCCATCTTTGTCATACTCGTTTATCTCAATGAGTCATCTCACTCACCTCTGAACAATTGTTCGATGAGAATCGTTAGTCGTCTCTGGATTCCTGATATGAAAAAACATATTAGCTCGCGGCAGCTCGTGAACTCTTCTTGCAGAGTGATTTTTTTTTTTTTTTTCGAAAAAGTGAAGTGGATGAGAGATCTTCTAGAAATATTTGGGACATATTTTGTTCATATATCCCCCCAAGATTTGTTGAGGAACAACAGAATGTTGAACTGCCTCTGGGCGTTATAGTGTTTTCACGATATATCGGTGAATGTATCGGAATGTCTTCCAAATTGGAAAAACTTTTATTTTTTTAACTCACCTCACTATTCACTAAGTGGCAAAAGCTTGGATTTGAACAGTTTTATCGGTGATAGATTGTTTTGCGTATACATTGTGTCCAAGATTGATGATTACTATCATGGGGATCTCGAAAACGTCGTAAGAAAAGTCTCTCAACGCTCTTTTTGTAAAGCTCAAGTGGCAATAACGGTAAATAAAATGAAACGAAATCTGCGAATGTGAAGTCTAATTTACTGACGATACTGTATAATTACATTTTTGGCCACTATGTTAACTAATAATCCAATGCACTGACAATGAAAACAAATAGTCCAAATTGCAAGCATTTTTGTCCTACACAAGCTGAGATATTGTAAACTGAGTATATCGTCCTTGTGATGCACTTCAATGCCCTGTAGTTCCTCAAAAAAACTTTACTTGGGGGTAAGTATATAAACCAAGTATATATGTCTTCAATATTTCCCGAAGAGTTTCAACCCACTTAATTTTTCTGGAGAAAAATTAATCATCCTAATACTGAAATACCATGCAACCATTTGACTATGAAATTGAAAGCAAATTATATTGATATATGAGTATTATTTCATTTTTATAATATCATCGTATAGCATTGAAATGCTAGTCATTTGACCCCTATATGAGTGTCATTTCATTCTCATATAAATGATATTTCACAGTTATATGATTTTTTAGAAATGATGAACGTGATTACAGTGAAATGGGAATTACGCTGGCGCCTATTCAATTCAGAAGCTAATAGAAATTTCTCTCGGTGTAGACAGACAACATATTTTTGGGGATAATTTCAATAACCCGTTTGAAATTTGTGATTTTTCGTTTAAGTTTTTTGGAAATGTGTTTCTTGTGACTGAATATACTTCGAAAAAACAGTGAATAAGCAGTAGATTTCAGGATGATGGGATTTCGGTCGTATAAGGAATGCCAAGTGTGAAATTTTGTTGGGTATGTACCTAGTGATGTGCCAAAACAGCGACATTCTAGATGAAAAAACATTTTCTCTAAATGAATACAAAAAGATCGAAGTCATCTCCACACAATTTTCATGAAATAAACAACAGTGGTAGATTTCGGGAAAAAAATAACTACATTCCTGCCTAATCCCACGCATCAGGACATTGAATTACATCCTCCCGAAATCTATGCATCGACTCGTATAAACGAATACTGATACAAGTGATTCTTTCCTGAATGCCTATTGATTTCGATTTGGCCAAGCCACGCTAGACACCTACAGACCGGTTTCGAGCTCTTTGACTCTCATCAATGCAGGACAGTCCCAGTCAGCAGTCCTGAGACTGCCGACTAAGCGTAGCATAGCCAGCTTTCTGTATTCATTTGACATTTCATTCCACTTTGAACATTATGGCTATTTCGTAGTTGAAATTACGCCAGTCTGGCAACCATCCATCGCAAAAGCTGCTTCACAAAAACTCGGATTCTTGTTCCGTGCGAAAAGCTACTTTACACCTCAACAGCTTCTCATGATCTACAAAGCGCAGATACGGCCTGTTCTAGAATACTGTTCCCACATATGGGGTTCAGCACCAAAACATACGCTGATGCTCTTAGATTCCATCCAGAGAAGAGCCATTCGCCTGGTGGGTGACGCCACACCCACTCACTCTTTGACATCATTGGAACACCGTAGAAAGGTCGGCGACCTTTCACTTTTCTATCGATACTTCCACGGGAAATGTTCTTCGGAAATCTCTGCTATCATCCCTTCACTAGCAATACCAATCAGACGAACTAGACAAGCCCAGTCAGCACATCCTTTCGTTGTCAACCTCGAAAGATGTCGAACAGCACTTTATCAAGACTCCTTCATCCATAGAACGGCTAGGCTCTGGAATTCATTGCCTGTGGAAGTATTCCCAACAACATATAATCTCCAAAAGTTCAAAAAAAATTCCAATACCTACCTCCTGTCCCTATCCTCCCTAGGAACGCACGATGTTCTTTGAACATTATAGGGATTCCCTTTCGTGCGCTCCAAGCGATAAAAAAAAAATGTGGAAATGAAGCTAATTTTTCAGTTAATGATCCGAAATAGGTTAAATAAGGTCTATAATTGCGATCATTATTTTCGATGGTTGGATATGGAGTATTTTATAAAGAATACTGTATATCATATTAACGTTGTATCCGTTGTTAATTGAAATTCACTTCCGAAAGAGGGATATTCACTAGCCCCTTCACTAGCAATACCAATCAGACGAACTAGACAAGCCCAGTCAGCACATCCTTTCGTTGTCAACCTCGAAAGATGTCGAACAGCACTTTATCAAGACTCCTTCATCCATAGAACGGCTAGGCTCTGGAATTCATTGCCTGTGGAAGTATTCCCAACAACATATAATCTCCAAAGATTCAAAAAAAAATCCAATACCTACCTCCTGTCCCTATCCTCCCTAGGAACGCACGATGTTCTTTGAACATTATAGGGATTCCCTTTCGTGCGCTCCAATCGATAAAAAAAAACCACTCCCGTATGAGAATTTCAGTTTTGGAGTCGTTCTTTTCTTCTTTTCTACTCAGATGGCGTTGCTTTCATATTGTCTTTGAAGGACGGCTCTGGAGGAATATAATGCCAACTTGATTTTTGTTTGGCTGAACTACGCTTAGTCGGCGGTCTTAGGACTGCTGGCTGGAGACTGCCCTGCACTGATGAGAGTCAAAGAGCTCGAAACCGGTCTGTAGGTGTCAGGCGTGGCCTGGCTAAATCGAAATCAATAGGCATTGAGGAAAGAATCATTTGTATCAGTATTCGTTTATACGGGTCGATGCATAGATTCCAGGTGGATGTAATTCAATGTTCTGCGTGGCATTAGCCAGAAAAGTAGTTCTTTTCATTCCTAAATCTACCATCGTTGTTCATTCTATGAACATTGTGTGGAAATGACTTTGAGCTTTCTGTATTTATTCATATAGAACTATATCAAAAGGTCTACGAACCATACAGGATATTTTTTGAACGCAGCATTACATGGATTAGGATTTTTTCAAATGGAATACATTTAATTTCATTGCATTCCCAGATCCTTCCTGAAGATTTCATCAATATACACTTGGGGTGTAGCGGTGATGATAACAGAGATTTTCTTGCGCCGAAACTATTCATTATATAGGTCAAAACCGCTCACATATCCCTATTTCAACTTTCGATTTACTATCTAGCGGCATTCAATTGGAACAGATACAGGGTGGTTCAAGATTCATGATTCTGATCACTCTGTATCTGTTTCAATTGAATGTCATTAGAAAGTAAATCGAAGGTTGAGATAGTCACTTGAGAGACGCTTTGGCCGATAATGAATAGTTTCGACAAAAGAAAATCCTAAAGTTGAAAATTATCGATTTTGAACACCCTATCATCTGTGCTATTATCTTGTAGCGGTTCTTCATAAGAATTTTTTATTATATTATAGAGAAGAAAGTTTCAGTTGATTGATCCATTTCTTTGTCAAGTTGTCTAGCTCTAATCATGTGATTATAATCACAGAAGAAACAATTAACTATAATACCATCTCTGTAATCATTCTTGCTGGACCCTACGTGTTATATATTGATGAAATCAGGGAGAATGTAGAAATGCAATGGAATATAGGGTACCTATTCCATTTTGAAAACTCCTAACTAATGTAGTCCCACGTTCCAAATACATCTAGACCTTACGATATAATTCCATATCTTCGAAAAGATGTCGTCCATCTCTCATTACACTGAAGCTATACACTGGGTGATCAAGTCATAATCATTGGGACATGCTAGAAGCGGATTGTTTGGACCAAAATATAGCGATAGAACCATAAATGCCCTGATGAAATATTGCTGTGGAAAAAGATACAGGAAGTTTAAATAAAAAACGTAGCGACTATGAACTCGGATCAAAATTCATTCACTGGCGAAGCATGTAATTCACCAGCAACATTCATCTGACAGTCCAAAGAACACACTATTCTTATAAATGGAATATTATTTTGAAAGAGTATCAATATTACGAAGAAATAATGTTTATGTCAAAAGTTTTTAGTCGATTTCATCATCAGGAACCATTCATGTGGCGCCTCCTGTAACAAACTGTAGAATAATACATAAAATAATATTACCTGTATAAAATTATGCCCCTGTGCCGATCTCGATAACAATTGATGAATATACAGTGATATCATCATAGCATAATATGAATATTTTATTGAGGCATATTCGGCCCTATCGCTATATTTTGGTCCAAACAATCTGCCATTAGCATTTGTCCCAATAGTTATGACTCACCCTGTAGTGCTTT